GGTTCATCTTTTTTGCTCCATGACCTCTTGCGTTTGACGTTGTTGTATACAACCCATTTTTCGTCCCCAGTGATGATGCGCTTCAAAAACGGATCATTTTCGTGACGTTTGAGAAGCGAATCGCAGACGTCAATGCGGCGACACAGATTTCTCTCTGTGAGAACATGGGGAACCCATACATCGAGCTTCGAGGATAATCCCAGGCCTTTCAAGTGGTCATAAACTGTTGAATTTGATAAATTTAACCTCAATCCGATCTCACGTGTTGTTATTCGCCGGTTCACATCAACTAATGCCTTTATCACGTCTTTATCAGCTTCAACCGGCCTTCCCGAACGTGGTGTATCTTCGACATCAAAATTGCCGGATCGAAATTTAGCGAACCAGTTCTGGCACTGGTGTACTGTCAACACACTTTCTCCATACACATCAGTCAATTTCTTTCTGGCTTGAACAGCATTTTTACCCTTTCTTTAGTAAAACAGTAAGATATCTAGAAAATGCTGCTTATCGCTCTCCATATTTAAAAGTGCACCAACCAAAAACTACTGCGTAGAATTAATTTTGGAATTTTTCACACACAAGCCTTGCTATATGAGCTCTCAAAGCATATAAAAATTATACGGCTTAAATGTGAAGTTGGGTGCAAAAGAATACAATTAAATCCTCTGTCGGGAAAAAACGAAATGACTTTCCGAACAACCCTATAGAATTCACTTAATTAAATCAGTCAAACTAAAATGAAAATGTATCAAAAGTGAATTTTTTCGAAAGGCTAAATTAAAGAGATTGCTCCATTATGCTTCCAAGAATTTTTAACCAAAACAACAAGAATTTTACAATTTTTTGAATGATAAATGGGACATTCATGCTACAGTTAGGAACCAAAACATGCAATATTTTGTTGCAGAACAAAACATGCTAATGGAGCAACCCATTAGTTTTTGTGGTAGTTTGAAGACACCGAGAAAAAAGTGTGGCTACGTATTTTTGCAGCTAATGCGTGGATACTGTTGTAGCTAATTCGAATGTGAATGATCCGGAAACATTTAGTGAAATGGTACGTGTTCGTGACTGAAAATACAGCTTCACTCACTTGATGACCCAATTTTGAAATAAAGGTGTTTTTGAAACAACATCAGGCCCTAGTACTGTCTTTATTAATTTCCATTTCCCTTTAGCGCTAATGCATGTGCTTAAACTCCACAAAGCAAAATAGAACAATATTTATAATGTAGACAAATGTTGTTAAAAATCTTCATGAAAAACAGATAACAATGGGCTCCAATAATTATACCTCGAACCATTTAACTCAAAATTATAATAAGCAGTTTATTACTTGAAAATAAATTCAGAATTTGTATTGACAAACTTTCCCTTAACTGTTCTTAAGTTGGTATTAATATTTAATGTGTTTGAAGTCAGCAGATCTATAACTAAAATTAGACTAGACGATCCTAATCCTCTTTATATTAGGATTATGTACAGTATAAAGCTTCCCCTGAAATTAAAAACGTAACTTTTGTGTGGAAAATATTTGTTTGTGGGAGGTAAAAATCGATTAAGAACCACCTCGTCGATTACTTAATTTCGAATAATTAAAAGTTCGACATTTAAAACTTTTAAGCGAAGTTATAATTAAATCGTGGAACGACAACGGCCTGCCACTCACATCGAACGGATTTATTTAGGTTTATTGACACTTAATTACTTTGTTCGCTAACTTTTTATTAGCTAATAAGAGAAGCAGAGGCGGTTTTAATGCCCTGTCAGAAAGTATTAACGCCTGACAAGTGTTTTATAGACGAGTTTATTGAATTTTAAACTCGTAAGCGGTCCTTCTCCTTCCTCCACGAATGACTGCGAATAACACGTTTATATGTTCGTACTTTCCATGAAAACTGTTATGGCCTACCTGTATAACATTTAATTAAATCCCGCTGCTACTTTAAAGCGATACTCTTCTTGACAGCGACGTAAATTTGGTTGCATACGTTCTCACAGTTATTGTAACTGCGCTTGCGCTTTTATTACCCCCACCCTACAACGCAGGAGTATATAAGCATGCTGCATTCAGGCCGGAGAACTGCGAGTATGAATCTAATTAAGTTTGCGAGTAATTCTTTCAAAGACTAACCAAGAAACGAACTTGTAAACATAGTTCTAAATAAATGGCTGTTGCTTTGATTCAAGTTGCGGGTAAATAAATTTAGTCGTCTCGAGTTGTGCTTTTCTTGGGGTTAAATTAATTTTAGATGAGGTGTTCGCGAGGCGGTTTCGTTTCGTATTTTGAAAACGAACGCGGAATGGGAATTCTCATTGTAGCTTAATTCGAGATTAATGTGCAACCATGCCGGAAATGGCCGGGGTTTCAATTTGCGGACGGAAACATCTCCGAGGATATCGTGCGATCGAGCTTTGCGGCATCCTTACTTAATATCCCGCAAATCATTTTAGGGCAGCGGTGAATACATTAACTCAAGACTTGTCCGTTGCACTTTGAGACATCCACCTCCGTCTTTGTCCATTTCTTATTATCTTAGACATCTACTTCCAGTCATAATAATCATAAACACAATTTTAATTAGTTTACCTTTACTAAAAGCCCTTTTTTAATCTCCTTTTGCTGAGAATTCTTAAAAAGATTAAATAAATACTGTAATCCGATGCAACGCAGTAAAATAACAAAGCTGCTCTGATTTTTAATTGAAAAACCTTTTCGAAACTTTTTCTGTGCTCTTTTCTAGTGTCCTAGTTAAGTAATTATTTACTAAATTATTCATCGTCTTTAGTTTTGTTTTGCTTTCGCTAGAAGACGGGTAAATTTTGTTGTCTCAAGGTTCGCCCGGGATCATGAATATGCGAATTGTTTATCTTCGGTTGCTCTCTTCCCAGCTTCCGTTTATCGTAAAGTGGGACAAGAGGGGATTACCTACTGCAGTCGACAATCCTCACAAATTTACCTTTACACGCGAAACATTTCAATTGCCCCTTCAGCCCGTGTTGCTCACGCAAAGCTTCAACAATTGTAACAAAATTGCTGCCTAAACGTGCAACTGTAATAGCAATATTAAATTTGTTGTTTAACTTCTGGATCAAAACGTTATTCAAACGGCGAATGTAAAACTGTAAAACGTAAATAGAATCGAGTGAGATAAAATCCTGTTTATAGAGTAGTGGATAAGATAATATACATAGAATTTATAGAAGTCTGTCTTGTATCCCTCTTCTTAGAGCTCTTGCTCCACTGTCTTGTCGTACATAGATAGATAACAATCATTTTATTTATCGATTGGGTACTTACGTAATAGCAATAAATATGGTTTTACTATTTTAAAATTACATGCGCATCTGGAACGTTTCAAAGCTTAACTTCCGTATCGTTTCTTTTTATTTATTTTAACCTCGAGGAGGGGAAATCTTCTAAAGACACCCCCCAAGGGGGGAAGTGTCGGATTCACTCCCGGTGAGAGCGCCTACCGTTTTTAGTCGGGTGGTAGTTCAACCTGGTGGTTATGACTACCGGGAGAAGTTTGGGGAAGGGGAGAGGATTGGGTGGGAGATAGGTAAAGAGGTGAGGGAGGGAGGTTGGGGAGATGAACTGTGAAGAGGGTGGCCCAACAATAACGGAAGGATGAGCACTCGCGCTAAAAAGCGAAGCTAGTGTTTCTTTTTAAAAAAAAAAAAAACATTTTGGTGTTTCATTCCCACCAGCCAGTAATGCTGGTGGGCGGGCAGTCCCTCCGGATTATGCCGGAAGGTAGGGCGGAAGGCCCTCTTCAGCCTGCTTTCAGGAATCGTGGGAATAGGTGGGTGGTGGTTCGGGTGAGAAAGATGAGACGGACGAAATGAAGACAGAAGAGAATGAAAGATTATCTGTGGAATATTACTGCCTCAGCATTTGCCTAAGTGGTCCAAGGAAACCACAGAAAAACTTGGACCAAGGCAAACGGACCCGGAATCGAACCGGCGTCCTCCCGAATGCTAAGCAATGGTCTAGACCTCTAGGCCATGCCGCTCGGTTGTTTCTTTTTAAATGAGTGAACATTTATATAGATTGTATTGGAAGTAGTGGGGGAGTTTTTGAGCATGCGCAAAGAGATGTGCATGGAACCCAACCTTTTTTGAAAATACGCTATCTCAACGTAATTTCAGTTATTTCACTTTAATCAATAATCCGCATTTGCTAATAAACTGAATATAGTAGAAAATGCCCCCATTTAACAGGTTAATATAAAATAATTAACTGTTTATAATGCAAGTCTCGATCACTACGGCGGACAATAAATTGCGAATCCCTAATGGAAAACAAATCTTCTATCGGAAGGAGAACTCATAAAATCGGAATTACAACAGCAACCATACGTGCTAAATGCATCAGCAGTTATGTAGCGTTTCTGATGCAGAATCAATAATGTAATCCAACTTTACCTACCTCCATAGATGTATAAACAGTTTTATGAAAAGCAAATAGAGTTACATTGTTTGATTGTAACGGAATACGTATTCAACTAAGTTTAATTTTGTCGAACAACAAATCGCAACAAATTACTTGTTATAGATACAATGTATCTACTTGTGGTAGCAAGTACGGGAGAGATTACTGCTACATTTGTATAATAAATAAATACTCATGTATGAATAGTAATACTACAATCTGCATAATGCAAAAACCATGTAAAAGTTCGTTTTCAACGAGTAATTGATTGAAAATCAATTTTATTTCCCGGAAATTGTCTGTAGTAACGTATGATTCTCTGTAAATAAAATCATAGCTGCACGCGTTGCCACTGACAAGAGCGACAAGAGCCGCGATACGCAGAAGAAAGAGGAAGTTTCTTCTTCCGCCTCATCGTAAAGTAAGCAACAGTCGCGCATCAATTGCCCTAGCGATCTGATATTGTATAATTCTGTCTCGGCGGTCGAAGTTATTTGTAACTGTTACAGATTTTTGCTGTATTATAGAATCGTATTATAAGTGAAATTTTATTTTGTTACAGACACGCCGTCGTTCGCCATTTCCCGCGATCCAGGTTTCGGCATTCCGATCAGGGAAGGAATGGCTGTATCATTAAAATGCGACGTCGACGCAAATCCCCGCGCCGCTCCAATTTGGCAAAAGGACGACAGCAGTCCGCCTGTTCAACAAACACCTGATGGCTTCTTAAATTTTACCGAAATACTAAGAGAACATAGCGGATGGTACAAGTGCATTGCTCGTCACTTGCTCGGAAAATTTTCCAGCATCGGCTATTTCCTCAACGTCAGATGTAAGTAAAAGTTGAATGTTAAATAGATGAGGCTTATATTTCTTGTAACTCCATATGTAATAGAAAAAGTTTTTAGCATTTGCCTAGTACATTATACCATGACACCATGAATTAAAGAGGTTGCAAGTAAAACTTGTAGTACAATGGAGAATAAGGCTTTTAAACTTGGTTTAAAACTCGAAAACTTGCCACCTGAACCTTAGTATTTTGTGATATTTTTATTTCTGACCGTTAACAGGGTAAAAAACGAACAAAAGCGGTTACTTTTTTCTTCTTAAAATAAGAAAAGAAATTAAGGAACTTGAGCTTTCACATGATTACACCCGTATAATTACGTAGCCTGCACGGCAAGGGCTTCTGTTGAAAGGACTAAAAATAATACGTAATTGTAAAAGCGCGGCCAAGAAAAAGTACACTTAGAAATCTCGAGTTTATTTGAAGAATGAGACGTTTATAAAGTGTTCACGTCAGTCAACCTCGCGAAATAAAAGAAACCCCACTGACTATTTCAAACAAAAGTGAAACAATTTACCCAAGACTGGAAAACATGAAAATTACTTTCATGATTTGTACGAATACCCGCACAGTAATAGCACACCTATTGTAAAACGTGAAAATTGTTAAAGTTTCTCTCGGGTTCTCGTATTTGGGACTATAAAACGTGACTCTTTAAAAGACGCAGGGAATTTCTGGGTTAAGTTAAGATACGGTATAGAGGAAAGGCTATAGTTATTATAAATATAAGGCCGTAATGATTTGTAATCATAAAATAATTCGAAGTGGTCTGTATTCTGTCGAAACTGCGAGACGCGGATCTCGATTTCGATCTTTTTGGATCTCATCAGCGCGTCGCAGACAGCTCCGACAGAATACAGACCAACTTTTACCTGCTGTCTTAACAGCGCGTTTTAGAAAATACCACAAATGGCGCAGTAAACGCCATCTGTAGTACGATGCTACATTTTAGGATTACGTATGCTCCAACAAGGTCCATTTAAATATATGGATATGTGCTTGCTGAAACGAATCCCAGCGTAGCTAACCTCAACGTGATAGGCACGTTACCATAATCGAATAAAATAATTCGAAGTGGTCCGTATTCTGTCGAAATTGCCAGACGCGGATGGCGATTTCGATCTTTTTGGATCTCATCAGCGCGTCGCAAACAGCTCCGACAGAACATTTGTAATCATAATCTTACCGCAATATTCGTCGATTTTATTAAAAGGGTTGGTGCCCTGAAGTTAGCGACTCAATAATAAATCATTTACTAATAATAATAGCATGTATAAAAACAGATTCTCGCAGTCTTACTACTTTTAATTAATTATTTGGTGTATAATCAACACTTCTACTATTAATTAGTTATTATTCACCCCTATATGAACACTCTGTCACTTCTTCGCTCTATTCTTTACTTTGTTTCGCCTTGCATTGTTGTATTAAGGCACAAGCTACTACGTAAGTTTCTTTATCTTTTTATCTTAAACATTATAGCTCAAAATTTCTCATTTTGATAAGAGATAAAAGCTAAAACTAGATTGCTGACCCTAAAAATTAGTAACTTTTCGTAGATCACCTGCTGCCTACTTCAGTCGCCTGCAATTTTAGTTCAACAGATAAAAATGTGGTCGGTATATTTTTTGTCAATCCTGTCTATCTACGATGGGATTATTGATTGCGAAATCCCCCGTAACATTCAATTACGGTAACAAAGGACACTGACAGGAAGGACTGTTGTATAGTTTGACGTGCAGGTTTTAACGCCAAATGCTGTCACTTACATGGGGTAATCTGATTACTCGGTTTATTGCACATTGAAGTCATTTCCCGGGGTTGTAAAAATGTATTTATTTTTTTATTGATGACCAAAGCAGGAAACAGTTTCGGTCACCAGAAGGACAGATATTAGACTATTAAACCAAAATTGTTTATACTAAATTATTCTTAGAAGATACGTAAACACATTTACCTATAATTGTTACTCGAACTTACTGATAGTTTCGAGAAACATTTTCATTCCAATTTTGTCTGTCTATATTTCGGGGATTTTACACCAGGACCAGTTCTCCTTGGTATGGAAACTGATCGCATATTTCTTGTCAAAAGATCTCAGGATGCCTCCCTTGGTAACACTTGGTAACATCCTTGAGGAAATCAAGGATCCCTACCTCAGCCTCCTCTCTATATGCGGGTGTTATTAATTCTATAAAAGGCCCTCGTTGCGACCGCTTTACGGATTCCTTCGAAGAATTCGATGCCCAAGAGCATCCCTTCAGCCGGGGTGGGAGTAGACACAATTGCCTTGACAATGCTTCTTAGCATCAAACCTTCCCCAATCATTCCACCTTTCTATTCTAGATGGGGGGTCTTTCTGCTGCACCATTGGACTAACGCAGCGTGAGTTTCAGGGCTGTCTCAAAAATCCACCACATGGTGGTCCGTTTGAGCCCCCAGACCTATAGCTTTCGTAGTTTGCTAAAAGAAACCAGGAAATCCAAGTTTCTTAGGGAAGTCCATGTGGTTTTCCACGACAGCTTCCTATACAGAATTATCCCAACATACTTCACTGAGTTTTGTGACCGAAGTCCTTACCCTCCAATTCGGAGGGGGTAGATTTTATCTCGTCTGCAGTTCTTTGTGAAAACAATGCCTTCTGTCTTCTTCGGGCAACTGCCCTTTAACACAACTCCATAAGGGTCTTAAGAAAAACACCACTTAGTATCAGATGAGAGGGGGGAACAGAACATCCCCTTGGGGGCATTGTGCGTCCACCTTATCCCAAACGATAAGTCTTCGTTCAATGGCCTGGATGTGTCAATTACTCATTCAATAACTTAGAATGAAGAAATTCTACATTTGAATAAAAGTGCGCGTGCATTACATCGCTGATTTCCGCGGTATTACGTATTTAATTGTCGATAATTGGACAGTTTTTTCTATCGGATCCGAAGAAAAAATCCCTTGTGATAAGATAAGAAAAGGCCGTAAAGTAGGATGTACAATTCCTGTGCGGGGAATCGAATCATTTCATGTTATTGCTTCGTTTCTTTAAATGTCGGTAATAAATAGAAGGAAAATCCTCTTTTCCCTTTTCTTTTTGTGTTCGTTCTGTTACATAAGTGGAGTTTACTACATACTTAGGCTATATGTTTCCAACATAAAAAAGCGTATGCTTTATCCTTTTAGGATTTTTACAACCTCTCCTAGTCCTTTATGGCTCCTTATACTTGTTTATTTTCGTCTTGCGGGGATCAATATCGAATGAAATAGTATAACAATACGTCCTTTAGATATTCACGGCAAAAAATATTCTCAAATTTATTTCGAAGAGAATATGAAAAGCAAATGTCAATATTTTTTTAACAATAAAAGAGGGTAGGTAGGTATGTTTTTCGTATCTATAAAACTTTCACATAACTCATTATTAATTGTAGTTATCATTTGCTTGCCTAAATAAAAATTTAAAAGTGGAAAACATCACGGTGTAGCCAAAAGGCAAAATTCGCGTTTTAATTATCGAAAATTTTCTCAGTAAAATATTATTGTAGTAAATGCAACAAAGTCCGGACGCCCCGTTGAAGGGACTTCCCTAAAATATACGTATACGTCACCAAAGTGGGGCAGTTAATAGTGGATAAGTTCATGAACTTGTACACGGTATTCTTAAAGCATGAAAACTTTGTAGGGTTTGGGTGTTAGACGAGTGAATTGGTGTAAAAATTCTTTTTGGATCTCATCAGCGCGTCTGACACTTTCGACAGAATACAGACCACTTCGGATTATTTTATTCAATTATGATAACGTGTCTATCACGTTGAGGTTAGCTACGTCGAGGATTCGTTTCAGCAAGTAGATATCCATATAATTAAATGGACCTTGTTGGAGCATACGTAATCCTAAAATGTAGCATCGTACTACAGATGGCGTTTACCGCGCCATTTGTGGTATTTTCTAAAACGCGCTGTTAAGACAGCAGGTAAAAGTTGGTCTGTGTTCTGTCGGAGCTGCCTGCGACGCGCTGATGAGATCCAAAAAGATCGAAATCACGAAACGCGTCTGGCAGTTTCGACAGAATACAGACCACTTCGAATTATTTTATTTCAATACAAATTAAATTTAGCCGTTTGAAAAAGAGCCTCCTGAAGTTACGAATATCAAGGTCCGTGACGAAAAAATTATTTTACACAAAGAAACAGTTTGGATATTGTATTGGAAAGAATGCTTATCTTCAACGATTCTGTCCAAACTCGAGATTAGAACATGACATTTTCACCACGATAATGCACCAACGCATATATCTCACTAGACCATCGAATATTTACGAAACACTGAGATACAACTGATTGAGCATCCTCCCTACAGTCCTCGACCTTGCACACTGTGACTTCGATTTGTTCCAATTATGAAAAATCAATTAAAATTAAAAGACAAGAAAGTGATTGTTAACAGTATGGAATGAAGCATGCTCAGATATTTTAGATATGAAATGGAAAGAAAAACTAGTAATGGAAATTATTTTGCAAATTGTAATAAACAAACTGATATTGCAAGGCTTATCTGTATATAGCAGCCTATTTTTTTTATGTTGCGCCTGTACATGTAAGAGGTTTGATATTTTATCGACAGTCGCCAAAGATTTTATGAAAAACATTAACTGAAGTCGTTTTTGTACACGTAGAAATACGTTCCACTTTTTCTGTGGCAGTTGTGCTTTTGGATTTGTTCGTTTTGATAGCATTCATGCTCCGTATTGTCAGCTGTCAACTTCAGGACCCTTAACTTTGAACTCGTTTGGCATCTTTTGAAATTTTCATCGTATAAAGACCGCAGGAGGTCACATTTGTATCAAACTTTTTACAACCTGTACGTCTATATGAAAAATTCGCAGAAATGACATTATATTACGCAGTAGTCATTTAGGAAAAAGAAATCTCATACCAATTACAAACGTTTGGATCAATAAAAATCCAAAAATCCAAAACGAAAAAATTATCTTGTGCTACTTTTGAAATTTCCTTAAAAATTGGACGATACCTAGATGTACGAGGGTGGATTGATAAGTTTCCGGCCTGACCAAGAAAAACAAGGTTTTTAAAAATTTTTTTTTTTTATTTCTCAACATAATCTCCTCCAAGGCTGATACATTTCTCATAGCGGTGTTCCAGTCTATTAATGCCATCTCTATAGACTGATTCGTCAAGCTCCTCAAAATAACCATTTACAGCTTCGATTACTTCTTCATTGTCCGCAAATCTCTTACCGCCAAGCCATTTTTTGAGATTAGGGAACAGAAAATAGTCACTCGGGGCTAGGTCTGGAGAGTAAGGAGGGTGCGGCATCAATTCAAACTTTAGATCGTTGATTTTAGCCGTCGCAACGATTGACGTGTGCGCTGGTGCGTTATCGTGATGAAACAAGATTTTTTTCTTCGCCAGATGAGGTCGTTTAATTTTCACCTCGTGGCTCAAACGTTGCAATAAGTCTGCGTAGTATTGACCAGTGATAGTATTACCCTTTGCAAGGTAATCAATGTATATAATACCTCTTGCATCCCAAAAAACAGTAGCCATAACCTTGTTCGCCGAAAAAATTGTTTTTGCCTTCTTTGGAGTTGGTTCCCCTGGTCCAATCCACTGTTTAGACTGTTCTTTGGTTTCAGGAGTGTAGTGGTGGACCCACGTTTCGTCAACGGTTACGAATCGACGCAAAAATTCGCTTGGATTACGCTTATACAATGACAAATTTGCGGTAGAAATGTTTTTTCGAATCAATTTTTGGTCGACTGTTAGCAAACGCGGCACCCATCTTGCACAGAGCTTTTCCATATGCAAATGTTGGTGCAAAATATGTTGCACACGTTCATATGACATCTTACAGGTCTCAGCTATCTCACGCACTTTCAATCTGCGGTCTCCCAGCACTATTTGATGAATTTTTTCGATCATATCTGGAGTTGTGACCTCAACGGGGCGTCCTGAGCGAGGCCCATCAGAGGTGCTCACACGACCCTTTTTAAACTCGGAAACCCACTGCTTAACGGTTGAATATGACGGGGAGGATGTCCCCAGTGTTGAGTCCATCTCTTTTTTAATTTCCTTCGGCGTTAACCCCTTCAAATAGAAGTATTTGATGACAGCACGATTTTCCTGCTTTTCCATTTTTACGAAAACCACAGAGGCGTCTTGTTCAGCGTGCTGTCAAACCTACACTAGCAAGGAGATCGGGCTGAAACTATAGCTACAAGCTATCCAAGGATGGTACTATAGAATGTCACCTCAAGGTAGGCCTAGTGGCGTCATCTCTTGGTTAGGCCGGAAACTTATCAATCCACCCTCGTACATATATAAAATTTTCGTTAAAAGGGATGAGCTAACAGTATTAGTCAAAGTAGCTCCCTGTCTAAATCAATTAATGCGGGGCTTCGCCTTAATAACCAATTTTGACATAATTTTATCAAAGAAACTTGGAAAATTCTAAACGACACTAGCGTGACAACAAGCGAAGTGGAACTTTGCCTTTAGGTAATATATCGTAATTGGTAAATATTCTTATAAGTTGGGGCACTTACAAATTTCCGCAGTTCATCAAATACATGACCACTCTATGGACTATTATCGTAATATGTGTAGAGTCCGTTCACTTAGAGAAATGTACAGCGTTGATGATGCGCACAATCGAATATCGATCGTAAGCGTATCCCCGGAATATAGCTGGTTATTTACCGTCAGATGTTTCCTATCAAAACTCAAACGTAAACCTCTGGCAACGTAGATAACTTCTGACAGTTACTCTCATCAAGACAGTCAGCGCACATCGATCTGCCATTGTGTACCTTTCTCTAAATGAACGAACAATACCTACAAACAGTCGAATCCTTAAACATATTGTTTTTACTCCGTTTTCTTGATTACTCTCTCTCATATATACTCGTTTAACATTGCTCAAAGTAAACGCTTTCTAATTAAAAAAGGATTTTGCTAAATCTTCCAATTTTCAAGGTAATCCCGAACAAATAAGCGAACTTTTTCAGCGTTCCTCTGTATACTACCACGATTTTTAATATTAATATGTAGATAGTAGAAAAGATCTCAACAGAACCACAAAATGGTTGTCTTACATGACATTAAAGCTTCGTAAACTATGTTTCAAAAATATGTTTTTCTCCTTTCAGCAAACGCAGACGTGACTCAAGAACCAGAATTTGACGTGAGAGAATTAAGTTCGACTGGAAGACAAATGGACGTCGATTTAGGCGGAGCTGTTCACTTGTCTTGTCCTCCAGGTAAGAGACCAATTATCTCTAATGTAAATACAAAAAAAAAAAAAAGAAACAGGAACTGACTGATGAGAAAAACGTACTTCAACCAGTCATATGTCAAATTTATCAGGTCAAAATACAAAAGAATAAAAACCTACCTCTTGCCAAAAAAAAATGATTCTGAGAGAGAAATTTCAGTAAGTACCTACCAATTCACTTTTTTTCATTATACGAAGTCCTCGGTGTGATAATCGGATTCAGGCTAGTCTTTTGTTTACTTTATTACTAGTGACCCGCCCCAGCTGGGCACGGGTGCAATGCTGATACTAAATATATTTTTGTTTTGTTTAGATTATTATCGAAAAGGGGAAATCTTCAAAAGATACCCCCTGAACATACTAAATATACTACAGAATGTCTTTATATACAACATTCACGGTTTTTTTGTCATTAGACAATACAAACCGGCCTCCCGGCCGGTACCGGCGCAACCGCTATGTTCCTGCATTTTAAATCTGTAATATCTTCGAAAATATTCATTTAAATTACATGCTGTAAAGGGCCATATTGATCTATATTAAATGCATAATGTATTTAAGGTACTTAATTGGATAAGAATTAATGCTGTATTGCTTACAATCGCTTCGTAAATAAGTCATTATTTCTCATAAAAAGTAAAGGATAAAAATGGTTATTGTGGGTTATCCCTAAGAGATAGACATATACCATCCCGGACTTTTTTGTAGACCCTTTTAAGATGTACAATACTGTAGTACATTATTTTGATCTATCTCGTAGGGTTCAGCCAGCGTTTGCAATGTAAGCGCAAAAAATTTGTTTATTTACGACATCACATTAGAAACCTCTAAAATTATCAGTGTTTCCCTGCTATATTATGCATATATTATGCATATAAACCTTCCTCTTGAATCACTCTATCTTAAAAAAAAAAAAACCGCATCAAAATCCGTTGCGTAGTTTTAAAGATTTAAGCATACATAGGGACAGATAGCGGGAAAGCGACTTTGTTTTATACTATGTAGTGATGAGCTCATTCCAATGAGTTCGGTGATAATTCCTCAGAAAATATTTTACAATCGGAAATGTGTTTCGTTTTCGCATTACTACGCTTTTTGTCGTGCAAATGGAAATAGAGATGGATATTTCGGGTTTTTCTTTTTGTTCACCTTCCGCGGTTCACATTACAAGGGGATGACGAGTTTGGCAAATATGGAAAGACGGCAAAGTTCGCGTCATGAATATCACGCAAGCTTTGTGCAGAGAATAGGGGGAACTGATGGTAATCCGGGAGGGCAGAACGAGCTTCTTTCCCGTTCTACTCGTACAAGTAGGATCGTACATGTAGTTTTAGAATACTTCCCCTACTGAATCCAGACACCCATGACGCGACGCTGTGCAACACCCGACGCCATCATTCGAGCAGTTATGTAAATCTTGGGACGTGTCTGATTACAATTTGCACTCAATATCATAAAACCAACGAAAAATTGCGTTCCCACTTTTTGATGTAGGATTCAGAGGCGTGTTTAGAATTTATTTTTTTATACAGTTTCAGTAAATTGTAATAACTTTTAAGTTATTGTGAATTCAAGACGGAAGGAGTAGTAAGGATATAAAGCAAAAGATACCGCAGGGTCGTGTCACCTTCAGTAACAAGAAGTCACTTCTATGCTCGCGAACGGTTACTTTAGAAATTCCAAAAAGATTGTTGAGGGTGTATGTTTGGAACGAGGCGCTGTACGGGTGCGAAACATGGACAGTGGGCGCGGCGGAAAAGAAAAGGTTAGAAGCGTTCGAAATGTGGTGTCACAGGCGAATGGTGAGGATGCCGTGGATAGAGAAGGTTAGAAATGAAGAGGTATTGGAAAGAATAGCAGAACAGAGGACTCTATGGAAGTCAATAAGAAATAGGCGAGATAGGACAGGGTAGGACACCTTCTCAGGCATGATGGTCTAGTCAGAGACATATTAGAGGCAGAAACGAGAGTGAGGAGGGGTAGAGATAGATCTTAGATTAGATTACTGTATGAAAATGGTTAAGGTTGTGGGTTGTTGTAGTTTTGGGGAAATGCGAAGATTAGCTCAGGATAGGAAAGAGTGGAGGTGCGTGTCCAACCTGACGACCTTATGATGATGAAATTCATTATTTATGTAAGTTACCATATAATAGAAGAAGGGTTTTTCAGTTTCTCATACGGTTTTGGAGAAAGACTAAAGCGCAATCTCCTAAAAATATTGAAAGTATAAAGTAATATTGTTATAAGCCACTGAATCTGGATTTAGAACTTACCCCTGTGAGTTCGAATAATATCGAGTGAACGACCTGTATCTACCCTTATTGTCACTGCCATCAACCAAATAAATTTAATCTTTAGGTATCACCTCAGAAGGTTACGCCATGCGATCAGCTTTCACAGGAAATTTCTCGATAATCGTCAATCGACTTTTTCAAGGATAATGTTTTCCTCTTACTGCTTCCACGCGTCAAATAAGAAAGGAAACTTAGGAAGAAATGTGACATAGTCTTAAATCAATAACGATTTGTCCGGAACACATAAAAATTTTATACGTAAAACACTAAAGTAATGTTGAAAAATGGTGAAGTCGTCAACTCTTGATGAACCATACTGATTAACGTATGATAAAAATTCGTCAGATAAGACTTACAGTACGGAACGGATGGGTTTTATTTCCCCGTATCTCGGTCAGATTTTGTATACACGTAAATATCTATTAAGTACATAGTCAGCTGTGTATAGAAATGGTAAAGCCACTTGAGCTACATCCTTTCTTAAGTCTTGCCACGTGTGCTTCATAGAATTGTGAGGATTTAGAAATGAATAAGGCAAAATCTACCTGCACTCTCGGGATGGATTAAAATGCATCTAGGGCAGTCCGTCGACGCGTCCCGTTTTCGCGCAGTTTTTAAAGGACCAGGTCACAAGTTTCCCCGGTTTTTAATAGAAACGGAGTGACTCTTCGTGGTGGATTATAACCGTCCGCAAAAGAAAGAATCGCGACCGCTTTTACAAGGGTTTTTTTTCTCGTTGACGCGTCGGTCGCCAGCAAACCGTTCAAATATGCATGGACGAGGACGGATGAAAGAGGGATGAAAATAAAGTGTTCTCAGTGCACTTTTGAAACCTTGTTGTTGTTTGTGTAATAAAAATGCTAGAAATAGCTCAAGAAAGATAACAACGAACTCGCAACGAATTGGAGTGTGCTAAAAAAATAGCAGTTTCCTTAAAATATCCCCAAAAGAATTTCATTCATTAGACTTCATTAAAAAGTCTTGCTAAAAAATTCATTGTTTCTTCAGTCACAACGAACAGATGCTTCCAAAAACGTTTTAAAAATCTTCATTAGCAGAACCAAAGTAAAAAGTAAAATTACTCAATATTAATGTGAATGAATATTCAAACCTCTACAGATTACTTCAAATTAATGAGGAAAAGTTGTTGCTGCTGTCACATTCTTGCCGGTAATGGAACCCGGGATCTTTGGCTTTTCTTAACCACTAAGTAAGGAGAGGTGGCAGCGGCAATAGCGACGAAACGCGCCTAGTAGGTTTGCAAATCGTCGATATTAATTTATGGTATCTTAACACATAAAATACTTCTTGAAAAAAATTATTCTTTATACGGTATACTTGCGAGTTTCGATGATTTAGGGAGCCGGACCATAAGGTTCAACCATAATGGAGGGGTTCTTAAAGAGAAACCAGACTAAGACAAGTCCCTGAAAGACGGCAGCAGCTCTTTCAGTACTCAAGGTGGCAGAGATCACGAGGATCGGTATGGCACTCTGATGCACAACACTGCGATGTGGAAGGCAACGGGAAACCACCACATTATGATCCCGAGAAGAACGTGTCACACAATTAAATGATGGCGTCCTCTGGGGTAAAGTACTCCGGACGTAAACTAGTCCCCCATTCGGATGTCCGGGCGGGGACTACCTCGGGGGATGTCGTCAATAAGTGCAATAGGGATAGGTGCAATGTTTCACGAGTCGGTGCGTGGAATGTTAGGTCAATGAGGCAGGTAGGGAAATTAGAAAATTTATGTTTGGAGTACGGCGTTGTACGGGTGCGAAACATGGACAGTGGGAGCGGCGGAAAAGAAAAGGTTAGAAGCGTTCGAAATATGGTGTTATAGGCGGATGATGAGGATATCGTGGGTAGAAAAGGTTAGAAATGAGGAGGTATTGGAAAGAATAGGAGAACAGAGGACTCTGTGGAAGAAAAATAGGCGAGATAGGTTGGTAGGACACCTTCTCAGGCATGAAGGTCTAGTCAGAGACATATTAGAGGCAGAAACGGGAGTTAAGAGGGGTAGAGGTAGGCCTAGATTAGATTACTCTTCGCAAATAGTTAAGGATGTGGGCTGTTCTAGTTTTAGGGAAATGCGAAGTTTAGCTCAGGATAGGAAAGAGTGGAGGTACGTGTCCAACCAGTCTTAGGACTGACAACATTATTATGATGAAAAAAAAAATTTTTGGGTGTTTCATCCCCACCAACCAGTAATGCTGGTGGGCGGGCAGTCCCTCCGGACTATGCCGGAAGGTAGGGCGGAAGGCCCTCTTCAGCCTGCGTTCAGGAATCGTGGGAATGGGTGGGTGGTGGTTCGGGTGAGAAAGATGAGACGGACGAAATGAAGACAGAAGAGAGTGAAAGATTATCTGTGGAATATTACTGCCTCAGCATTTGCCTAAGTGATCCAAGGAAACCACAGAAAAACTTGGACCAAGGCAGATGGACCCGGAATCGAACCGGCGTCCTCCCGAATGCTAAGCAATGATCTAGACCTCTAGGCCATGCCGCTCGGTGTATGATGATGATACGTGATAGATGCTAATATCTAATAAAACTTAAATAGACATTGATGTAAAGTCGAAGGTTTCGGGTTCTATTCTCGGCGAGGGTGTAATCATTTTTCTTCTTTAAAGTAATCTGTAGAGGGTTGAATATTAATTCACATTAACCTCTATGAAGTAAAAAGAAT